CTAGGGTTTAGGGTTCAGGGTTTAGGGTTCAGGGTTTGGGGTTTAGGGTTTAGGGTTTAGGATCCTTAGGGTCTTTAGGGTCGTTTATGGGTTTAGGCTCCTTAGGGTTTTCTTTTTGGTTGTTTCAGGCATAGGATTTCAGGGTTTAGGGTGTGAGGGCTTAGGGATTTAGGGCTCCAGGGCTATAGGCTTTGGCTGTAAGAGAGGTTTTTGCCGGGCTAGCAATGCTACAGGGCTCAGGGTTTCGGGAGTTGAGGGTTTTAGGGGGGGGGAGGGTGTAGGGGGTTTAGGGTTTAGGGCTTGGAAATCCTTGGACTTGTCAGTGAAGAGTCTTGGATTGCACTACCACATGTTTAGCCTAGGGATCAAGGGGAAGAGTTTCAATACTGTGTTTTAGACTAGGAGGGGAGGCTGGCTAAGGTCCTCTCGGAGGTTTCGGGTTAGGGTTTAGGGTTTAGGGTTTCGGGTTTAGGGTTTAGGGTTTAGGGTTCAGGGTTTAGGGTTCAGGGTAGGTTTCGTGGGGCTTGGTTCAGGATTTAGAGGGCCGGTTTTTCTTTAATTGTTATTCTGTTTAGCCTGGGTTCAAGGGGTTCAGAGGTTATCGTTTATAGTTCATAGGGTTTACGGTCTGTAAGATTTACACGAGGTTTTTGAGTGTTTGAGGGTCTGTATAAAGGATTTCTTCAGGTTCAAAGTTTCCCAAGCCTCCAAAGAGTAAGGTAGTTCTTCGGGCCCTTAACATGGCCCTTTTACCTTTTTTTTGAGGGTTCTGAAGTATATGGGCCCTTGGGTTGTACAAGGACAAGAAGGGATACGTAAGGGGTCCCCTTTTAAAGGGCCCATAGTAAGGGCCCATGTAACCGACCCCAAGCCGCCAAAGTAAGGCTCCATGGCCCCTAGCGCTCCTGCCGCCGCCCCGCTGCCGCGAGGGCCCGCCGCGAGGAGGGGTGTGCGGGTTAGGGTTTAGGGTTTAGGGTTTAGGGTTTGGGGTTTGGGGTTTGGGGTTTAAGGGTTCTGAGTTTAGGGTTTAGGGTTTAGGGTTGTTCCCCCCCCCCCCCCCCTTATACTAACAGGATTCCTTAATATAGGGATTATCGTACCCCGCCATGATAATCCCTAAGCTAAGAACTGTTTGTACAACGGATAACATCCCAAACTATAGGGTTTCACGAGAAGAATGTAGAGTTTGGAGTTTTTTTTTTTGGGGGGGGGGATTAGGCACAAAGGCCAGGGTTTGAAGATAAGGGCTCAGGGTTTGGAGTGCCTTGCTGAGGTGTTCGAGCCGGCTGCCAATACTTTTTTCTTTGTTGGGCGCCCGGGGTTTAGGGTTTAGGGTTTAGGGTTTCCGTTTGGGCTCCCCCCCCCCCCCCAAACTGCCAAACGTTTTGGGCTTGGAGGGTGCGATAGGGGGTCTTGGTACACCGTAAGAACCCAAAAGCCATTTTTGTCGGGTTAGACTGCCGAAGAAATTGAGTTTCGGCCTAAACCCTGAACCTTGAACTCTAGACTCTAGACCCTTAAGCCCCTTGCACGCTTGCGCGCCGTTAGGCGGGGTTTAGGGTTTAGGGTTTTGGGTTTAGGGTTTAGGGTTTAGGGTTTTTGGTTTAGGGTTTAGGGTTTAGGGTTTAGGGTTTAGGGTTTAGGGTTTAGGGTTTAGGGGCAACCATTGCCAACTCTGAGGGTGCATCTGTGGATCCTGAAAACATGCTGACCTAGAGCCTTACTCTTGAACAAAAACATGTGGGGCTTTTGCAGATCTGGGTCCCTAAATCCCAGACTAAAACCCTAGCCCTAGACCCTAAACCCTAACCCTAAACCCTCAACCCTAAACCCTAGCCCTAAACCCTAACCCCTAAACCCTCAGACTAGACCCTAGTGACGCAGGCCCAACGCACCTGAGCTCCTTCTTGTGAGGCTTTCACGGCTTTAGCCGAGCTTTGGCGGGGGGTTTGGGGTTTAGGGTTGGGGGTTTAGGGTTTATGTTTAGGGTTTAGGGTTTAGGGTTTGGGGTTTGGGGTTTAGGGTTGGGGGTTTAGGGTTTAGGGTTTAGGTTCTAGGGTATTTACTCAACTTTCGTAGGCGGGGATAGGGGTGAATCCCTAAACCCTGTTCTCGAGATGATCCGCGAGCTTTACTTCGTAACCTTTCCGCTAAACCCTGAACACTAAAACCCTAAACCCTGAACCCTGAACCCCTTAACCCCAAAAGGGACAACCACTTGCTTTGGTCTTATTCACACGCGTTGGTCCCGACTGCCTGGACCGGAACGACGCTGACGCTGGCCGGATTCAATGCCGCGCTAAAGAACCGGTTTAGGGTTTAGGGATTAAACCCTTGTGAACGTTATATGTACAAACCCTGTGGACCCTAAACGTCGGGCATAAACTCGTGTGCTGCACATGTCGGGGACCTGTGAGCGAATTGTTAGGCTTCAGGCTTGGGATGTGGGCTGGAGTCAAAACCCTTGCATTCCCACGCAAGACAAGGCAGGCCGATATGTTTTGACCATCATTGTAATCGATACGGTAGGAACTTCAAAAAACGATAGGGTTTGGACGACGTCAGAAGCCTCTCTGTCGACAACCGGCTGAGTAAGCCCTGCTGCACGAGATGGTTGTCATCAGAAAAACAACGGTAAGGAAGATCCCGGCCCTAAACCCTAACTAGAACCTAAACCTAAACCTTAGATTGTGTGGTCTTTGGGGGAGTCACGACCTAAACCCTAAACCCTAAACCCTAAACCCTAAACCTTAAACCCTAAACCCTAAACCCTAAACCCTAAACCCTAAACCCTAAACCCTAAACCCTAAACCCTAAACCCCAAGCTAGGGGTCATTGATCCTGCGCAGAGCTTCGGCTGCTTCAGCAAGTTCCCTGCTCCATTCAGGCCCAGGGCAGTCATTTGTATTTTCACGTATTAAACCCTAAACCCTAAACCCTAAACCCTAAACCCTAAACCCTAAACCCTGGGGGGGGGGGGGTTTGGACTTAGGGGTTTCAAGGGTTTAGGGTGTAGAGTTTAGAGGGTTTAGGGTTTAGGCTTTAGGGTCCAAACCCCAAACCCCAAACCCCAAACCCTCAACTCCACCGTATACCCCCAACACAACTCCCAAAGTCTGCGACTTTTGCAGTGCGTGTTCCTCCTGCTGCTAGCAAACTATACATAGGTTTGGGGAGACTTCGAACCTAAGTTCTGGTACTCACAAACCCAATTGAGGAAGGCCTAAACCCTAAACCCTAAACCCTAAACCCTATACAACACCACTTAACATGGCAGGGCCCCCCAGTGTCGTCTCCACCCCCCTGAAAGCATGCTTGGCCGCACCAGCCATGCAGCCCTGGCACTCCAGAGACGCGAGGTCCCGGGGTCTCGCAGGAATTTCAGGGTTTAGGCCCTGACCCTACACCTCACCTAGACAGACCAGCAGCGAGCTTGCGCCCAAACACTTAAGCATAGGGGCTTATAAGGTCTTAGGCTTCCAAGGTCTTAGGGTTTAGGAGTTTCGGGTTTAGGGTTTAGGAGTTTCGGGTTTAGGGGGTTTAAGGTCAATCAGGCATGTTGCCGGCAGCTGCGCCGCATCCGCAGCCGTTTTGGCTGCCTGTGGACCTCCCGTGCCCGAGCCTCCAGCACCTTGAGATGGCGCAGGAGCCCAAGCGAGGCGGGATTCCTTAACCCTAAACCCTATAAACCCTAAACACCCCGCAAGAACCCTGAAACCTCGAAAACCCTAAAGCCCCTGGCCCCGAATATAGAAGCCCTGTTAACCCTAAGCACCCAAAAAGCCTGAAGCCTAGACACCCTAAAGCCCTAACCCCTAAAATCCAAAAAAAACCCTCAGAACCCCGAACCCACAGGGTCCATGTAACTACACAGTATATTGTTGGGCCTTAAAGGGGGTAACTATCTAATATTGTAGCTTTAGGGCCCAAGTATATACTATGTGGGTACATGGGCCCTTAGGGCCTCTAGTCCCAAAACCCCAAATTTAAGAGCCTCCGGCTCGAGCCGCCGACCCCGCAGGAGAACAAGTTTAAGGTTTGGGGTTTGGTGATTTTGTTTGCGGTTCAGGGGGGGGCGGGGGGGCTTGTGGGGGGGGGGGAGGGGGGGGGTAAGGGGGGGGGGGTAGGGGGTAGGGGAGTGGGGGGTAGGGGAGCGGGGGAGCCCCAAAACAGGGGTTTTTTCCAAAAGAGCCCCTATGCCCTGTGCGAAAACGCCTATCCAACACGCCGCCAGGGTCGGCGGACCCCAAAACCCAAACCCCAAACCCCAAACCCCAAACCCCAAACCCCAAACCCCAAACCCCAAACCCCAAACCCTAAACCCTAAACCCTAAACCCTAAACCCTAAACCCTAAACCCCCGGAGGCTGGCTTTCGGGTGTGCGTGTTTCTTGGGTGGCGCTGGTGGTGGTCTTGTTCTTAATCGCGGTGGACATCAACCCGGAAGTGCCTCTCTGGTTCTTAGTGGGGAAGTTGGGCGTCTTGGGGTTTTGGGCTTAGGGCTTAAGTTTAGGGTTTAGGGTTAGGGTTTAGGGTTTAGGGTTTAGGGTCTAGGGTCTAGGGTTTAGGGTTTAGGGTTTAGTCTCTCTCTGTCTCTCTCTCTCTCTCTCTCTCTCTCTTTCTCTACATACACACATATATGTATATGTATCTCTCTCTCTCTCTCTTTCTATACACATTCCTAAACGGGGTCAAGAGGGGCGAGGAGGGGGGTGCATGATTAAGGTGGATGAGTCCCCAAGAAGGAGGCAGGGAACACGAGTTCCAAGGCGACTGATGGCTGTTTCGAACATGAGCTGGATCGGCTTGAGCTCGGCAATAGATGCTCGCACTTTGTTCTTCTCACCTGCTTTCTTGTGTTAGCATGCTTTTATAGTCTTCTTCAAAACAGCAACCCCCTAAACCGTAAACCCTAAACCCCAAACTCCTAAATCCTAAACCCTAAACCCCGCCTGCCCAACCCAGGATGGGTCCAACTGGTGGTCGTCCTGTAGCCTACACATGCACCGATGTTCAGGAGATTGGCTGCCACAGCTGGCAGAGTACTGCTGTTGCGACTCTGGCTACGCGTGGGTTTCGGGTACCGCTGGCGCCTGTGTGCTGAAGACGACCACACCTGCACCACCCGATTTTGAGCAGGGCGCCAGCAGAGGCCGACTCCTATTCTGCGAGACGTTCGATGAAGAGGACCGGTCGGACCGGCTGAGTGTTGCCCTTCCATAGCCGTACAGACCCCTAAACCCTAAACCCTAAACCCTAAACCCTAAACCCTAAACCCTAAACCTTAAACCCTAAACCCTAAACCCTAAACAGACAAGGAAAGCTTCAAACCGGACTCGCGCAAGCAGCACCTCGAACTCCCAAAAGTAGGGAGAGTCATGAACGAACATTAGCATGAATGGGTGCATACGCAAAGATATACACATAGTACATAATACAAATATACATATGCATCTAGCTATCATTTCGTGGATGTATCTATATACATATATACATGTAGATATAGCACCAAGGATTCCACATAATGTACTGGGTCTTGGAATACTACACTTTGATACTTGTTTTTGCTTCTGGGTTCCTACTATACCCTAAGGGTCCATGTACCTTATTATTATATACTTAGACCCCAAAGTCCTTATATAGGAAGTACTTTAAGGCCCAAGTATTCCATAATTAGGTACATGGACCCTTAGGGATAGCTACTTATACCTAACAAGTATATGCTTTTTTCCAGGGTTCTCCAAAGCTAAGTGTCAGAGTCCTTTTGCAGGATCAAGCCGAGCTTGTATCTCCAGGGCTCATCACGCAGTTTAACGAGGCGGCCGTCCAAAAATGGGTCGCGGAATCTTGGGAGGGTTTAGGGTTTAGGGTTTAGGGTTTAGGGTTTAATTAGGGTTAGGGTGTAGGGACTTTGAGGGAACCATGCAGAAGCTTTTTTTCTTTTTCCCCCGAACAGGGATTCCAGTAGTATAGGATAGACGATGCCCTTTTCTGCGGTGCATGTGGTGCCTAAGGAAGTCTTGACAGAAGCCGGGTACGATGGAAGCGTACCTCAAGCACCACGCCGGAAGATCTGGGATCTTACACCCTTTCATTCTAGAATGTCGGGCTTGGGGTTTAGGGTTTAGGGTTTGGGGTTTAGGGTTTAGGATTTAGGGTTTAGGGCTTCATGTTCATAGGCTTGAAGAAGCCGCGAGGGGGTGTGTTGAGGATGCCGAGATGGTCGGGGCTGTGCAAGATGGCTTGGGGCTTAGAGGACTCCATAGTGACCATGCCTTCTCAAGCTAGCTACTTCGGGTTTAGGGTTTAGGGTTTAGGGTTTAGGGTTTAGGGTTTAGGGTTTAGGGTTTAGGGTTTAGGGCGTGCCTTCTATTCATGCGGACATAGACCGTTGACCCTGAAAATCCTAAGCTCCATATCGGTGAAAGTTCCAGCGCCTGTTTCCATGTGAGGCTACCGCAGCCCTCGAGAAGCATCACGTCAATGGTGAAGCTCTGGTAAGCCTGTCGCCCTGGCAGCTCATGGCGTACGGAATCTTGGTAGCGCAGTGGTTACCCTTTACCCTTTTTGTTGGTTTATTGGGTTCCCTTATTAAAAAATAGCCAACCCAAACAGGGTGCCCTTATTGTAATCTGGTTACATAGGGCTACCAAGGAATTGATGAAGGGCCAGCTGAGATCATCTCGTCCAAAGTGCAGACTTCCTCCAAAGTGGAGGCCCTGTCTTGGACGCCCCTGCGTCGGCTGTCAAGCGGAACAAGCGGATGCGCAGAGGAGGGCGATGGCACAAGGGACGATGGAGACTTAGTTGCTGAGTGAGTACACTCTACACTTTTTGGGGATACTATAATCCCCTCTAGACCCTAAACCCTAGACCCTAAACCCGAAACCCTAAACCCTAAGCCCTAAACCCAACTAAGGAGACGCGAGCTTTCACACCGGAAGCAGCGGCTGCACTGAGGGGGCTCAGGAACACCATCGGGGTCTTCACACAGGACCGCGCTGCTGTGGCCAGTGTAGCTGCTTCTTCTTATTAGTGTTATTATTATGATGATTATTATTGTTATTGTTATTATTATCACTATTATTATTTCTACTGTTATGATTATTGCTATTTGCCATTGCCTTTAGGAAACATGCTCCTCAAGAAGGTTCAAGGCTTTGAGGCAGAAATCTGACATGTGTCTTCCCAGTTGTCTTCTGCACGAAGCAGAGTGTGGCAATCCAATATCAAGGTTATTGCGAAGCCTCCCTGACATGTTCGAACCGAAGCCGCAAATCCAGGCTAGTCCAGGCTCTCAAGCAAGCTGGACTTCCTTGCTCCGCCAGTGCTATATTGCGCGTGCTAGAGGGCTCTGGCTGGGTAGACCCTCTTAGTGCCCCAGAAAGCCCAAAGCCCCAAGAAGCGCCCATCCCGAAGACCCTCAAGCGCTTCAAACAGGCTGGTTCTTAGTAGGGAATGAGGGAATTAGGGTGCTGTATAATCCCTTAAAGGTATTAGAGCCCTAATTCCCTCCTTCCCTACTAAGAACCGGAGGCTAACCCCTAAACCCTAAACCCTAAACCCTAAACCCTAAAGCCTAAGCCCTAAGCCCTAAGCACCCTAAACCGGGCCAAGCAGGCAGCAAGGGTTGCAGCAAGTCCTCAACGGGAACGCGGGGATGCCACCAGCACCATTCGAGCGGCGCACGCGGCTGCCACAGCAACTACAAGTCTGGCTCTCAAGGCGGATGTTTGGGAGCTGATGGATATTTTAGGGTTTAGGGTTTAGGGTTTAGGGTTTAGGGTTTAGGGCTTCGGGTTTAGGGTTGTAAAACCTGCAAAGTCTGAGTTAAAGCTCAGGCTTTTGTAGGGTCTCGGAAGCTCTAGGAAAACGAAGGACTCGGCCGTGGGGATCGTACATTGCAAGGCATGGTACTTATTAACCAATTATAGCTGTACTTATCGCCCACTTACAAGCCACTTAAGTGCACTAATATGGTCATATGTATATTTCGAAGTACAATTATAATTTGTAAATAAGTACCATGAACCTCCAAGTATACTTGGTAAGTAGCCAGGTACTGCCCTTTGGCCTATCTGGGTTCTAGGTTCTCATGGCAAAGGTCGCCAATCACAAAAGGGGTCCCCTTTATTAGGAGATTGCTACAGGGCTACTAAGCAGAACTTAATGGTGTAGTCTAGAAATATAATCCTATCATCATGAAGCAGTCTAATCATGCAAGACTCTAAGAACCACAGGCAAATATACTCGCATAGTCATATACGAATATATGCTACTATGGGGGGTTTCCGAACATAGGGGTGGCTTTGGGAGAGCTTATTCTAAGGGAATCTTACTATTTGGGTCTATATTAAGGGCCCCTGATTTTCGTAAACTCCCATATACTCATCTACTAATATATTCATATCCTCAGCCCCACAAGGTCTGGATACACATTGGACCGGACCACTCCGAGAGTTCTTGTTCCGTAGGAGTTAGGGGTGTTGTGTGACCCTAGACCCTAAACCCTAAACCCTAAACCCTAAACCCTAAACCCTAAACCCTAAACCCTAAACCCTAACTTCCCTGCAGGTTGCCACCACGTGCACCATGCGGCGCGCGGCTGCGACTCAGGGGTGCAGGGCTGCCACTCTGGGGTGCCTCTGGCCAACTTGAAGGGTTTAGGGCTTAGGGTTTAGGGTTTAGGGTTTAGGGTTTGGGGTTTAGGGTTTAGGGTTTAGGGTAAGTTTAGGGTTTAGGGTTTAGGGTTCAGGGTTTAGGGTAAGTTTAGGGTTTAGGGTGTAGGGTTTAATGGCGTATAGTTATGCTTCAATCCCTCGTGAAGTGTGACTGCAAGTAAATTGCAAGTCTTCACCTAAACCTAAACCCTTCTTTGTATTTGCTTGCAACCAACAAATGACAAAGGTGTGTGGCTGCCAGGACGCGAACTTCTGCGAAACTGATGTCGGATTTGGAGCTCCAGGTTTAGGGTTTCTGGTATGGCTGCGTTTAGAGCCTCCCTATTTGGTGTGCGCCCAGTACTGGGGCAACCTAGTCTAGGGCTTAGAGTGGCTGACTTGTAGACTCAACCCTAACCTAAACCCTAAATCCTAAATCCCAAACCCGAAACCCTAAACCCAGACAGGGGATTTTGCTTGGGACGCTTGCAGTCTCTTCCGAACCGTTTTTGAGAACGCCCAATTACTGCTGAGGAGCTTCTAGAAAGAACTTTGAGCCGTATGAAACCTTCAGTGAGGGGCCCCTAGCAAAAGAAGAGTAGAACCATGTGGACCCTAAAGTCGTCATAAGTACTACAGCCGAGATGGTACACATGTGTGTATGGTTCTTGTTTCTGATCCTTGTTGATCTGTACTCACAACTATGTCGCTGTGAATGAGCCAAACTCGCGTGTCGAAGATGTGACAGGGCTTATGTGCCTCATACCGCCGTTCCTTACCCGAAACCCTAAACCCTAAACCCTAAAGGTGTTTGGCTTCAGGTGTGTGTAGTTTTCCCCCTTTGCTGGGATCCACCACCGGGCCATACCCTAGCGTGTGAACGATCACCGCGCCCTCTGCCATTCCGCACTGCTGCTGTTTGATCAGCCAACTGCGTGTGGCTTGAGGGTTGACCTCGTGGACTATCTGTGTGACTTGCTGCCTTTCTTTCGGCCAACGATCCATTTAGTGCCAAAGCCTTTTCTTTTGGGGGTGGCGCCCCAACCGGAATTGTGGCGATACGACGGCGAGGACAGGACAGTGCATGCGTTGTGGACTTTTGAGGCCCATTGCATCAGCCTTTTTCCTCTTCATCTTCCTGACCGTCCCCGTGGGCACGCACTTCGGCGCGGAGCTCCTGTTCAACAACGGCGAGGCCAGAACCAGCTTGGCACAGACAGCTGAGAAAGCGCAGGTGTCAGGCTCGTACAACTCTGCGAAACTTTGTGGTTGGGGTGAAAGTCCCTCGGCCGCGAATTTTGGCATCTATCCATCGACTTCAAGGTCACCACGCCAAGTCTTCGTTACCCCGACAAGCCCTACAGAAGTTAGCGGCGAGTCCGCCAACGGAAGCTATGACAACGCACTCCTGGTGCGACAAGTGCTACGCCAACAGGTCGAGCAGAGCGGCTTTCTGCCAAGTCTGTGGTGGACAACTTCAGACCTACACCGTGCCAGCGAGCAACGCGAGCAGCTATACAGTGGCGGCGATTTCGGCGCCCTGGAGGTCAGAACGTTGGGAGAGCCCACGGCGTCGTGCTTCACCCCGGCGAAGGAGACAGCCAAGCAACAATGCCCGTGCTTCAGAGCAGGGAGAGAAGGAAAAGGGCAAAGGCAAGGGAAAGCAGCAGACCCCAAAGGTGCCTGCAACAAGACAGTTGCCCAAGCCGCCTTCTGCAAAGGAACCACCTGCGCCCAAGGAACCGGCCCTGCTAGCAGTGTCGGACGCAGCAGAGGACAGCAAGTTGTTGGAGGCACTCATCCCGCATATTCGCCAAGACGAACTTCCAGATGCAATCCGCGGCCTTCTGAAGCAGAAAGAGCAGCTCAATGTGAAGTCGGATGCCAAGCACCTTCATCGCTTGGTTGCGCGGCGCAGCGAGGCGAAGCGGCACCTGTCGTCTATCCGGGAGGAGCGCATGGCGTTCGAGCAGTCATGGAGCCGCTATGCCAGCGACCTTATGCGAACTCTGCAGGAGCAGTGGGAACAACGGGAAGTCACGCTCTCCAGCTTGGACAAGAAGGAACAAGAATGGGCAATGCAACTTGCCGAGGCGACGAAGGAGCTGAAGCTGGCCGCCAAGGACAGCGAAAAAGGTGGGGAGGCCACCGACAGCGACCAGATGTCAGACATGGAGACGGATCGTGCAGCCGAGACCGACGCAAAAGTGGAGGCCAAGCGGGAGGAGCTCTCTTCATGCCACCGGAAGCTGCAAGAGGCTCTGGCAAATGTCAAGGCTGCAGCGGACATGGGCGCCGTTGCCGGGGAACGGGAGAGGGTCCAAGGATTCGGAAAAGCCCTTGCACTCCTCTGCTGCCAAGGCACCCAAGGAGGCTGGACGTCAGCCTTTTTGAATGGCCTGGGGACGAGCCTTCGGGGACCCCTCAGGCACACAGCCGCACACAGCGTCACGCATGAGGCGGACTTTGTGAGCGAGCTCGATGCGTTCCGTCAAGCGATAGCTCTTCGGGGTGATGTGCTATGTGGTACAGACACCTGGGTTGACCCTCGCGTTGACGATGACCTCATTTCCAACTCTGACGCAGCGCCATCCGGCGACCTGAGACGGATCGGAGGAACCGATGACTCTGTGTACGGCGGGGGTGACACAGTGTACAGCGGTAGCCTCCTAGATCCTCTTGCGGATGAGTCTGATGGCCCTGCATCAAGGTTGGTTGTATCATCTGAGTTGCACTGTAAGGTAGGGCTGAGCTCTTGTTTTAAAAAGGGCGCGCCGCTTTTTCGATGTAGGGTAGCTTTCCAGCTGCGAGGCGTGCCATGTACGGACGACGCCTACAGAAAGCTTTGCCGCGAGGCTTGGCCCCATGTTGCTGAGTTTCGTGACGCAACCGCGCCATTTGTACATAGTTTTTCGTTTGCGAACCGGAATCTGTTTCTTTCAGAACATACCCTAGGTGTTCAGGCTCCAGGCATAGGCTCAGGTGCCCAGACTCCAGGCGCAGGCTTAGGTGCCCAGGCTGCAGGCGCAGGCTTTGGTGCGCAGGCTTCAGGCACAGGTTCAGGTGCCCAGGTTCAAGGCGGGCAACCTCCAGGCACAGGTTTAGGTGCCCAGGCTCATGGCGCAGACTTGGGTGCTCAAGCTCAAGGTGGCCAGGCTCAAGGCACAGGCTTAGGTGCCCAGGTTCAGGTCACAGGTATGTGCTCTGCAGCCACAGGTTCACACACTCAGGCACAGCGCACAGGCTTAGGTGTCCAGGCTGCTGCACAGGTTCAAGGCGCAGTGCCAGACAGCTTAGGTGGCCAGGCTCCAGGCAAAGACTCAGGTGCCCAGGCCCCAGGCGCCCATGCACAGGCTCAACGCGCAGGCTTTGCTGAGGCTCCAGGCACAGGCTTAGGTGTGCAGGCTCCAAGTGAGGGCCAAGGCGCTGGTTTTGGTGCTCAGCTTGCAGGTGCGGCCCAGGCTCAAGGCACAAGCCGACGTACCCACGCTCCAGCCGCGGGCTTATGTGCTCAGGCTCAAGGCAGGTCAGGTGCCCAGGCTTCAGGCGCAAGCTCGGGTGTCCACGCCCCGGTAACGGGTCCTTTACCGGGGCGGTCCCGCGCTGGACCTTCTTGCGAGCCCGCCCCGGTGTGCCAGCGCTTACCTGTCTTGCCGGGGCGCCAACATGCATCCCTCAGTGCCCTCACCAAGTTCGCCTTCGGCTCAGACCTAGGTGCAAGCTCAGGTGTCCAGGCTCGAGACGCAGGAGGCGCAGGCTCAGGGGCTCAGAAAGGCGCCCAGGCACAAGGCACAGGCCTAGGTGCAAGTTCAGGTGCCCAGGCTCAAGGCACAGGCTCGGCTGTACAGGCTCAAGGCTCAGGTGCCCACGCTCATAATGCAGATGCAGACGCTGGCTCAGGTGTGCAGGCTCGAGGCTTCGGTGCCCAGGCTCAAAGCACAGGCGCAGACGCACAGGCTCAAGCAAGCTTAGGTGCCCAGGCTCCATGCAGAGGTTCTTGTCCACGCACGCAAGACGCTGCCAGACGTACACGCTCTGTACATGCTACCTCAGGTGCCCAGGCGCAAGGCGCAGGCTCTGTAGGCCTAGGTGCCCAGGCTCAAGGCGCATGCTCAGGTGCACAGGCTCAAGGCCAAGGTGCCCCGGCTCAAGGCGCAGGCCCAGGTGCACGGGCTCAAGGCCCAGGTGCGCAGGCTCAAGGCCTAGGTGCGCAGGTTCAAGGCGCAGGCTCAGGTGCACAGGCGCAAGGCCTAGGTGCCCAGGCTCAAGGCGCAGGCTCAGGTGCACAGGCTGAAGGTGCAGGCGCACAGGCTCAAGGCTTAGGTGCCCATGCTCAAGGCGCAGACTCAGGTGCACAGGCTCAAGGCCCCGGTGCCCAGCCTCAAGGCGCAGGCTCAGGTGCACAGGCTAAAGGTGCAGGCTTAGGTGCACAGGCTGAAGACGCAGGCCTAGGTGCCCAGGCTCAAGGCGCAGGCTCAGGTGCACAGGCTGAAGGTGCAGGCGCCCAGGCTGGAGGCGCAAGCTTAGGTGCACAGGCTCAAGGCGCAGGCCGAGCCCAGGCTCAAGGCGCAGGCTCAGGTTCATGTGCCCAGGCTGAAGGTGCAGCCTTAGGTGCCCAGGCTCAAGGCGCAAGCTCAGGTGCCCAGCACCCTCAAGGCACAGGCGCACAGGTTCAAGGCACAGGCCTAGGCGCAAGCTCAGGTGCCCAGGCTCAAGGCGCAGGTGTAGGTGCACAGGGCGCAGGCCTGGCTGCCCAGACTCAAGGCGACGCTTTCGGCACAGGCTCAGGTGCACAGGCTCAAGGCGCAGGCCTAGGTGCCCAGGCTCAAGGTGCACAGGCTCAAGGCCTAGGTGCCCAGGCTCAAGGCGCAGGCTCAGGTGCACAGGCTGAAGGTGCAGGTGCCCAGGTTGGAGGCGCAAGCTTAGGTGCACAGGCTCAAGGCGCAGGCCCAGCCCAGGCTCAAGGCGCAGGCTCAGGTTCATGTGCCCAGGCTGAAGGTGCAGGCTTAGGTGCCCAGGCTCAAGGCGCAAGCTCAGGTGCCCAGCACCCTCACACAGGCGCACAGGTTCAAGGCACAGGCCCAGGCGCAAGCTCAGGTGCCCAGGCTCAAGGCGCAGGTGTACGTGCACAGGGCGCAGGCCTGGCTGCCCAGACTCAAGGCGACGCTTTCGGCACAGGCTCAGGTGCACAGGCTCAAGGCGCAGGCCTAGGTGCCCAGGCTCAAGGTGCACAGGCTCAAGGCCTGGGTGCCCAGGCTCAAG